GATGACTTCCGTGTAGCAATGGCTAGCAAGTCATTGTTAGTACGATCCTCTTTAGTTACGATACTAATTTTGTTTGTGTTAAACAGAGCAAATATCTGTTGTGTCTATGAAATAAGTTTCTGTCTCTCTTTCTTTCTATTTTGGGACAGTTCCGTCTCGAAAGTAGCTGGTAACTAAAGCGCCAAGAAATTGTTCATATTGGAAACATTAACACCATGTCTGTTTTGAAGAGAAAAGTATACACAAGATTTTGGTATTTGTAACTTGCAACAATTACTTGATATTTACGAAGTTCTAAGTTTGAACAACCTTTTCTTAGATTCGTTCGAAAGTTTACTGTCAGCCATATTGTGTATTTACAGGGCATGTCGTTATTTGTCGAAAGCATGAACACAGTTGAGGTTGGAAAAGTAACAAAAATAAAAGCTTATTCAGAAAGTTATGTCGCATTTTATTTTTCAGAAGGCTTAAAAATTATTTTTAAGAGCAAATAGGAATCTGTTCCATTTGTTGAAAACATATACATCGCTTCTAGCAATGACAACAGAAAGTTATTTTTTATACAAGGTCCAAGAGCTACTCGAGGTAGAGGGTTATAGAGTAAGAGGCACAATTTATGCGGATATGTGAGGAAGATAACGGTTAATCATGAACAGGTTGAGATTATAGTAATCGGGGAAGCGTCCTCTTGGGAGCCGGTTCCACAAAGCGGTTTGTGGTAAGAAACTGCTCGATTTGAACTTACATCTCATCAATGGGATACGAAGGGAATGTGGGTGGGGGAGTTTCGCTACAATGCGCGTGACCCGGTGGGTCTTAGCTGTGAAGGTCAGACCTAGTGCAACTAACGATTGTATTTTGAACACTTTCCGTGGTAATAGCAATAGAGCAACGAGAGGCTTGCGACGTTTCGTCTGTGGGAACGAGGTTGTAGGGTGGAAAATAACTTGTCACCCACAAGGACGCGGAGACACTTTTGGACTCTATCGAGCCAGGAAAGTGAAGACTATGTAGCCCCATGTGCATATATGGCAGAAGTACACCATTTTTGGTCTGATCTCGCTCTTGCAAAGGTAGATGATAGCGGGCGGAGTCAGGTGCTTACTGGAGCGGTACCATTTTTCCAGCATCTTTAATGATGGATTGTGTATGAAATTAACGAGCAATAACCGTAAAAATTCCCCGATTTTCCTATTTCAATTTTCTGAGGAATCTTAATTCTTAATTTAATCTTCTTGCGAGCCCCACGACTATAAAATACGCATGGGAACTCCTCTATTGCCTCGTTAAATATTTGAGCTTAACAACTTTAACAAAATATTACAAGAGAAATCATAGGTATGAATGCATTTCATTAATTAAAGAATTAAAAGGGCACGAATGAAAAGATTAAAAATTGACAAAGTTTTACATTTCAGTGACGCAGACATGTTATAACTTCCTGTATCTTCCATTTCTTTCTTTCTTTCCCTAAAACGAAACAGTGCAATTGATATATCTATAGGAAACAATGCAAAGTTCGAGAAAAATCTGATCAACTTTGGCGCAATTCTTAATATATAAAAAAACGCCTATGCACATTTTCTAAAAAAAATAAAACACTCGACCACATTTTTTGACCAATCAGGCGTACAAAAAATACGCGGTCGCCTTGTAAGAAATTTTGGAGCTAATGCGCATGTGCCTGATCCCATCAGCACATTTTAAAAATAAGAATATTTTCAAACTGCTTCAGAACAGTTTACTTGTCCGGCGAGATGAACACGACTGTATCTCACCAGCAGCCTGCTCCATACAACTCTGTCTCAGCGCAGTCCCCTCCTTTGACCGTATCAAATTACATTTCTCAACTTAGCGGTAATCCTTTTAACGCCACGTGGCTGTTGATATTTCTCTATAACTCACAGAGACTTTAAAGAAAAACAAAACACGAACAATTGATTTTTGTCATCAGATATTTCCGGAAGTTGATATATTGTAAAAAGAAAAGGAAATAAAAACTTCTTTATTTTGTAGCATTCATGTTAATCGTTTTCTATTAACATTAGTATCACTATATATCTTTTCTCTCGTCTATTCTTGCAATCAAACAGGAAACAATGGATAAATTACTACTCCTGTTAAATAGACGTGTAAGGAGTGTGAACCGGGCGATAGGCGAACCTATTTACTCCTATTTCATACAGAAAAAAAATGTGCTATTTATAAAGACTAACAGTTCTTGAGAAAATTTCTTGGTTTTGCTATTTGACTTTTCTGATTAATCTTCATTCTCAATTTAATTTAATGACTAAAGATTAAAATACTTTAAAATACTAAAATACTTGTGGAAATTCCTCTTTAGCCGTGTAAAATATTTGAACTTAACAACTTTAACAAAATATTGCAATAACAATCACAAAGTCATTATTTAAAGAAGTAAGAGGGTACAAATGAAAAGGTTAAAAATTGACAAGGTTTTCAATTCCACTGAAGCAGGTGTTAAACAGCCGTGCCGTACGTATTTTAAAACAAAACAAGAAAATACTTATACTTTACAGTCAGGTAATAAGTCTAAAAATATTTTATGAGGGTGTCAGATATAAAAAAAAAAATAGAATCAGGAATCTTTTAAACGTAACGCCTGATTTATCACCCCCATCATCCGCCAAGCACTTTATTATGTGGGCTGTGGAGGAATGTCAGATTTATTTTTTCGTCAAGTAGAAACGAATTTAGGAAAATTCAGTAATTTTGACAAGAAAATTCACTAACTATGAAATGAAAGTCAATTGAAAATTGATTTTAAGGCCGTTTTGGAGTAGGAATTTGGGGGCCTAAGACCCTTCCCCTAAATTTTTGAAATAGAAATGAGGCTATATAGTTTTTGCTTCTTTTAAAAATAATAAGAAAATAATTATTTAAATTTATAAAAGTTAATGGTATGGTTTAGTTTGCTATGTAAATTCAGCAGTGTTAGACTTTCGTGCCTGCAAAAAAGTTTTCTCTTGACGCCGCCATTATTTTAACTAACTACACTCCACAGAATTTTTTTTGCCTTCAGTGCCCAGCCTACATATCAACAAGACTATATTAATTGATTGCCAGGGCCGGATTTAGGCCTTAAGAATCCCCTGAGCTAATAGAATTTGCGGGTTCACTTCATTACGTAAGTTCGCCCACCTGTGTCTATAAAAAAAAAGTAGATATATTTTTAGATATGTTTTTTTTTTTTTTTTTGGTGTAACATATGAAACACTTCAACTCAAGAGGGTCCCAAATACTCGTTGGAGACGTGAAAATAACAAGACATCGAAGTCAAGAAATGTTTGTCTGGAAAATTTTATGCTATAAGTGAGTGATATTTGTTTCAGAACAGATTAATTTAACTTTAAATTTGCTAATTTTACGAAAGTAACGTTTCAGAAATGTATATTTTATTTTAGCGGAATTTTCAAACCCGAAAACATAAGTTTTGTTTACATTTCTTTAAAAAAAAGTTAAAAATGGCCGTTTCGATTTGTTTCTCCGAAGAATCTACTAAAAGTCATTCAAATTTCTATTTGAAATACTCCACAGTATTTTTTCTCTCTGGAATTAGAAAATTTAATCCTTTAGCTTTCAATTGAAGCTAGGGGAAAAACTTCAAAAAGGATCTTCCCTTCATGAAAAATACATTTAAACCTTAGGTATACGAATTTTTGGAGGTCAGTCAGTTATGTGCCATGCGTGATACACGCTTGGGCGATCATGTATCTTTCGATACATGACTGACGAGGCAGATTTTTCCCGCAGCAGGTTACCATTTCTTTCTGCAGTAGACCAGTTGCCATCCAAGGCGATGAACACGGTCTGCCCTGCTATTTACCCAAAGCTGGGGGGGGGAAGAAGAAGAGGATTCATACTTTTCCCAAGGCTATTAGCACATTAAGTGAATGTAATGGGTTTGACTGAAATTCGAACTCGGATTCTCGATTCCTCAATCCAAACCGCTATCCATTACTTCACCGTGAATTGTTTCAAATTACTTCAAAGGAGCCCCATTAAATCTGAAAAATAGACAAATCTCTTCTGTTCTTATATTTTGATTTTTGTTTTAGTTTAATCAGGGGCCAAGGACTAAGAATTACTACAGACGATACTAGCCACTGGTGGGTACGTCACATTCTTTCAATGCAGTCAATACATTAGTGTATTTGTAAAATGTACGATAACCACACGATGTTTCTGGATCTAATAAGTGTGTATGCGTTTCAAGTACGTTTTCCTTTTTGTTGTGTGTGTGTGTTTTTGTTACATTATTTTTGTCTCAGACTGTCTCGTGCCCCATTGATAATTCCACTGGTTTCTCGCCCCACCACCTCTGTCAAAATGTGATAGTCAGACCAGGAACCCGGGGGAAAAAAAAAAGAGTCAAGAAAGGGTGATTTGAAATAAAAGTGGAGGGTAGTCCAAAGATAATGATACCAGTAAGAAGAAGGATGTTCTTCTCTTGATGCTTTGCCACGGCACCGCTTCGTCAGCCTTCCATTTTGGTCCCGGCATCTACTTCCAACCCCTCAACCCCAGTTCTATAACTGCTGTGCCTCTCCGACCCGACCCCCCGCCAATCCATTCGATAATCAGTTAATTCTCTTCAACTTCATAATCAACAGCATATGCCCCGGCTTTATCATTTCCAACTACTTCGTCTTTGATCAGTTTCTTTGCGTCCATTGGGTCGGTTTCTTCTTAATATCCATCTTTAATTCACATAATAGCCTTTTCGTGACACTACAGACCTTTTTCGAAGAGGTGGGCGTTTAGAAAAATAACATGAAATCTTAAAAAGAAAATTAAAGAAATAAAGATGAGGATAAAAAAAAATTAAAAGAGAGAAACGAATAGAGAAGAAAGGCAAAGAGAAAACGAGAGTAGTCAGAAAAGAAAGTAAGACAAGAGAGGAAGTGATAATCGAACAAAGTGAGTGAAGAGAGTGTGTAGAGATGGGGGATGAAATTCATAATAGGGTAAAAATGTAATTAAAAAAAAATGAAGAAAGACGAGAAAGAGCGAGTGAGGGGGAAAAGAAAGCAACAAAAAATGTCGAAAGAAATAGAAAAAGAAAGATTAACAGGGCAAAAAGTTAACAAGAGAAAAAAGTGAAGAAGAAATGAAAAGAATAGAAAGATATAAACGCGTGGTAATGAGCGGGAAGAAAGAAAGTGAAAAGGTAAAGATCTAGAGAGAAACACAGCAGGGAAGAGAAAGGAAAGAAAAGGATAAAAAAAAAGAAAGATACATGCGTAGGAATTGTGGGAGTAAAACGTTGAGAAGATAAAAAAGAACGTAGAGTAAAGAAAAAGGAAAGAAAGATATGGACGCTTAGGAATGCGGGGAAAGAAAGGAAAAGAAATAAAGGAAAGAGAAAAAGAAAGAAAGGAAAAAGAAAGACCTAGAAAAACAGCTGAGAAGAGAAAGGAATGAAAAGCACAAAAATATAGACGCAGAGGAATGGAAATAAAAGAAAAATCTGAAATTAAGAAAAAAAAAAAAAAAAAAAAACGTCGGAGAATAAAAATTTTTGAAAATGATAATAAAATAAAATTGTAAGTTTGTCCTTTTTAGAGTCAGAGATCAGGAATACTTGAATGAAGAGAAAAAGAACCAGACGAAATCTAGCGAAAATAGTTTCAACGTCTTTTATTTTTCAGAAGCAAACAAAACACGTTATAAAAGAAGCCTCCCAGCATATATTTCTGAGATAGATAAAACTAGTTGGGACCTGACAGTTTTAATGTTAATTCTAATTACACTTTTTAAAAGTTGTTATTTTTTTTAATCTTATATATTTTTACCGTTTCTCTTTGAGTTTTCAACACAACTCTTTGTCGAATATCATCGGACGTTTTATAAGTTGTCTTGTCTCTTTCACTTAAGAGAGTTTTCTTGAAGCTCGATTATAATTTGTTTTTATTTGTTCTTTAACGAAGTGTTAGTCGAGAAAGAGCACAAAAGGATTTACTTTAAAATGCGATGTCAATGTAAGCTTATTTGGTAACCTTGTTTTTTTTTCTAGGCAACTTGATCGGTTCGTGCCATCAAAGAGAATGAGTGATTACTTTTTCGACTATATACAAATCTTCAGACGTTTATTTTCTGTTTTATTCAGCTTTCTTCTTCTATATGTCCCTTCAGAATGTTGGTGATCATGGCTCACCACAATTTCCCGGCCTTTGTTCCTCTGGAAGAATTAGAAATAGAGTAGAACTAAATGGCTTATTAATTATAGTATATTTCTGTATTTAAGATACACCCACTAAAAAAAATGGAAATTAGAACTTCTCTGTATCTTATCTACCGATAAATATCATACCTGTAAAATGTTTTTATTTTACAGGATTATTTATGTATGGACTTTTTTCTAACTGGTATCATAGTGTAGTATATATTCCCTTTGATCTGCTGTCTTCTCGTCCTACTCTGTGGAACATCGGTGTCATGTTTCTACCATTGGGTAGTTCAAGGCAAAGCAATGAGTGAAACCTGATCCTGGTGATTCTAACCCTGCGGAAACACTTCCCTCATTGCACCAAATGAGGAGAATCAGAATATTTTGACGACTGTATGACGGTATTTACAATGGCTGACCAGTTTTAACTTTTGGCTCGTATATACGCGATTAAACGTCGATGTGAAAGCGATCATGTGTCATATCCTTCCAGCGTTGTGGAAAGTGGGAAACAAGATCAGAGTGTAGAATTTGTGCGTTTTACCTCGTATCAAAGTATCCCTTCTCGGCCTTTTGACCGTTTGATTTATTTTGTTTTACGGCATATCGACCTCAATGGGTTATTTTAATGCTGACAAAATTTTTAGGATAGTTTCGTATGAATATAATATGTATATACTTTGTAAGGAATCAGTTTATAGATCAGGTTTCATTGACATATTTTTGTAAAAAGGGTTTTTGTCGAGAGTCAAATGTATTGTTGGTAATATTTTTCCCCAAAATGTATTGCTAGGATTTTTTTTTTCTAAAATGTTTTGTCGGTATTTTTATAATAAAAATATATTTTTCATAGTATTTTGATCCCAGTTTGGGTGGGGGGTTAACTATCTGACCATAGCTGGAACCCAAACAGGTGCTACTACCCTTAGTCAGGATGTACCTGGGAACAACAGCAATTAAGAGGTGGTTCCACGCTCCTTAAAACCTCCAGATCAGAGGCCTTGCTGCCGGATGTAGTTTATCGTTATACCGAGTATGCCTTTTTTGCCGTGAGAGGCGCCAAATTAACTTCAGTTTTCAGATAATATCTCACCTTTTGGAGTGGGCTAAGGTAATTCCTTGGTACCTGTGACGTCACCAAAAGAGAAATGCTGATGGTGCTGTGAACTATTTTTTGGTCTCTGGCCTCATTTACGTGTCTGAGCCCCACATTAAACTCAGCCTTGTGCCATATTCTGTTCGTGTGGGCGTGCGAATAATATAATCGCTTCTCGACCTTTTGGACAGAATGAAAATAGTCTCTCCTCAAGTGTTCTCTCTTTCCCTCTCTGTTCTTTCCTCAATTGAAATGGAAGGTACCCAGTCCAGGGAATTTCAACCCTGCGGCAACAACTTCCTCATTGCACTAGGTATGTGGGGATCATATGTAATATCGACAGCAGTGTAACAGTGGTCGCAGAGATTGGACAATTTTTGTCCTTAGCCCATATGCATGTGTATGAGTACCCCCACATAAAAAAACGACCTTGTGTCACACTCTGCCTTAGTGGGGAGGTGGTCAGATCAATATTTCATCACTCCTCGGTTCTCTGACGGGAATCAGTGTAGTATCTGTCCATATTAGACGACCTTTCATATATGTGAATGATTACAAATGTTAAACATTTGAAAATAATTCTGCATGTTGTTAGTTTTCTGATATTTGAAATAATTTTCAAATTAATTATAATGGGAATAAAATAATGAATGATTTTAGTTTTAGAATAGCTTTCATGTCGATAAATCTAATGAAAATTTAAAAAATGAATGTAAATTTGTTACACTCACTATGATCGACCTTCTTCTTTTTTTTTTTTTTTTTTTTGAAACAAAAAAAAAAAACCCAGAAAGTTCAGATTTAAGAAACGTTAAATGTATTTCTCAATTGCATCATCGGTACTAAAGTAAACTGGTCTACTCATAAAAATAAGGACAAATTTTTGGGTGAATAAAGATTAATGTTTATTAGACATTGGTCAGAATCGAAAAATATTTGTTTTTTCCGATTTTAAAAAGATGGAATGGGATCTTATTCATAATATCGATACACTGTAAAATCGAACACTGTCTTTTTACAGAGTTATCTGGACTTAACTTAAGGTCAAATTTGAAACCGTGATCATTGATATCTGCATACGTTTTTAATTTTCTGAGTTTTTCAAACTTAAAAAAAGATTTGGAAGATGATTTTTTTTTTCGGAAAACACATACACAAACATTGGGTGATTATTAATTATTTATCCTAAATAAACAATAAACGGATATATATGCTTATTAATTTATGTAAATTTTTGTTCTTTAATTAAAAATGTATACATCACTTAGTTCTTTAAAAGTAATCTTTTTGTGAAAGATAAAAGAAAAAGGTCTGTTTCCATACGCGGAATAACTAAATCCAGATAACTCTGTAAAAAGTCGAGGATCGATTTTACATTGTATCGATATTATAAAGAGGGCCTATCTTATAAAATGATAATAAAAATCGATTCTGACAAATGTTGCACCTCGAGGAAGTTCTGATGAATGCTAATCTAGAAAAATTATTTCCAAAAAAAGATTTATCCCTATTTTTTTACTCGGGGACCTGTCTATTTAAGTAGTTCCGTAGTATCATTATAATCAGGGATGAAAGTTCACCTTAAATGTTAGAAATCTGATAATGCTTACATGTAAGACTTCTTTGAAAGTTTTTGTCACTTATTGCTACAAGGATTTGGTGAAAATAAATTTTACTCCGCCAAATCTGTTCTGTTGCAGTGGTTCTCAAACATTTTCTCTCTGGGGCACATTTCTGGAATGAAAAATAGCTCGCGCCTCACCAAATCTAGAGTCAACCATTATCTATCCTACCTATCCTCATAATATGCACTAATTACTCCTTCCTTTTACACTCTTAAAATAGTCTCATTCAGTAACCCACTACCTCAAGCCGCCGTTGGGCCGAGTATTAGGTGAAAAATAATATAAAAAACGTCGAGGGCATTTGTCATTGCTAATTACGATAACAATGTTTTTGACAGATGAATGTAGGTTTGTTACATTTGAATATTTTTTTAATCTCTGTCCCAAAACACGACACCAATTTCTAAGCAACCTAATATTTTCTGATCTAGATAACGGGGAAATGTGAAATTTGAGATCATAGTTCGAGTTCCGATTAAGACTGCTGAAACTATGAAAGTGGGCGGGGGCATAACCCTCCCCTTCATTCCGTAGTCATTCTCCTTGACTCCAATCATGCCACGATATTAGACAGAAATGATTGAGTCAGTTGTAGATGAGTAATTCATTTTCTCATCATTTCATTACTTGTTCAGATGGTGAAAGCAAAAATAGCTCTTTTACTCATTTTCAGCCGCGGCAAAGAACACTATGAGATAGATCTCTATAAATGATTGCCAAACATATGACGTTCAGTAATCTCGTTTCAAAGACCTAGTTTGCTAGTCTGAGTTCAATCCTTTCTGGATGCATCTGTAAAGTTTCTTTGTACTAGACGAAGCATAACCTATTACTAAATTTCCAGACAGACACATACGTGGGTATTTGCTTGATTAATTTTGTTTACCGACATATCAACCTGTATTGGTTATTTAATGCCAAAATCTAAATTTTTTTAACACAATTTTATAGCTTCAAGTACACATAAAATGTATTGTTGGTCATTTTACTATAAAATGTATTGCTGGTAATTTTACTATAAAATGTATTGTTGGTCATTTTACTATAAAATGTATTGCTGGTAATTTTACTATAAAATGTATTGTTGGTAATTTGACTATAAAATGTAGTGTCGGTCATTTCGCTAGGAAATGTATTGTTGGTAATTCTACTATAAAATGTATTGTTGGTCATTTTACTATAAAATGTATTGTTGGTCATTTTACTATAAAATGTATTGTTGGTAATTTTACTATAAAATGTAGTGTCGGTCATTTCGCTAGGAAATGTATTGTTGGTAATTCTACTATAAAACGTATTGTTGGTCATTTTACTATAAAATGTATTGTCGGTAATTCTACTATAAAATGTATTGTTGGTAATTTGACTATAAAATGTAGTGTCGGTCATTTCGCTAGGAAATGTATTGTTGGTAATTCTACTATAAAATGTATTGTTGGTCATTTTACTATAAAATGTATTGTTGGTCATTTTACTATAAAATGTATTGTTGGTAATTTTACTATAAAATGTAGTGTCGGTCATTTCGCTAGGAAATGTATTGTTGGTAATTCTACTATAAAATGTATTGTTGGTCATTTTACTATAAATATGTATTATTGGTAATTTTACAATAAAATGTATTTTTATACTTTCATAATGTTTTGTTTTTGTTTGAGGGATTCACTATATGCCCATAGCTGGGACCCTAACAGGTGCTACCACTCTAGGTCAGAGTGTACCTGGGAACAACAGCACTTAAGAAGTTGTGTGTAAATTATTCTCGAGTAGTTTGTAACACCCAAAATAATATCTGAAAGTTTCGTCTCTGTCTTTGAACAGAGTACGCTCAGGGGCGGCTCCCTCAAAGGACGGAGCCGCAAATGAGGAGAATTATACTGAGAGGTGCCGGCCCTGGGAAACAGCTGCCCGAGGCCGCGCCCTCTCATTGCACTAGAGAGAGGGATCGG